ATAAATATCCTAGTCTTCTTAATCTAATTAAGTAATTCTATTATAAATAATATTATATATATCATACCTAAAATGTTCATTAATATATTTTTCATCTGTTTCTTTAGGTGAATAATCACATGTATCATTGTAATTACATACATATTTATTTGTTTCATCTTCATCTTCATCTAAACGTAACTCTGATAAAATTGATTATTTTTCAAATAACTCTGCATTTTACAAACTTGAATAATTGATAATACATTCTCGTAAAAACTTAAAAAATGCATAATTCGGTTTTGATTTTAAATGTTAAATGATAGTTAAGATTGTTCTTGTTTTTTCAATTTTAGAAAACACTAATTATTAAACCATTATTGTATCATCATACTTTCTATGAATACCTTAACTTGATTCATTTATTTTGAAAAAGTGATATTAATATTTAAGAGAATATATTTAATTTTTGAATTTGCATCTTTCTATAAAACTTCCATCAGATTATTATTGTTTATCCATTCTAAAATATTACACTCTCTCATCTAATATTTAATTGAGTGGTATTAGATTATCAAAAATAATATCTCCTCTTTAATAGAAACTATTAGTTCCTGTATAAAATATTTTCACATTTGACAATTATTTAGATTGAATCCAATGCATTTTCTGGCATTATTTGAATGTATTAAAGAATTCTTGTTCTTGTAAATTCATAATTTAAATTTATATATATATATATAAATTTCGTTTGTTTAATTTAATTGAGGGTGAGTCTTTCGACCCTACAGAAATTGGTGAACGGCTTCACAAGGAAGTCGTACACTCGCATTGGAGTAGTTTTCAATTAGCAATCTCGCGTATCCGTTGGTACGTCACTTACAGCGATATTGCCCCTGAATAAGGATAAGTGTCTATCAATTCAAGTTTAATTTATATACTTAAGACAATTCTTGAATTTTATGGGTTTCTGTACTCCAATTCATTTAAAGTTTATTTTAGTAAAATATACACAAATAAAACTAAAACTATAATTGGTCATTTTTAATTAATCAAGTATTTGGCTCCCTTCTTGGCAAGAAATTGTTTAATATTTCTCATTTTTTTTTATTACTCTTATGATCCTTTATAATATCCCCATAAATTAATCCAATTCAAACAAGCTCCAATACCTGCTAAAAATATCTATTTCATATATCAAATAATACATCTATTAATCCAAATTAAAATATATTTGCAAATACAAAGAAAGCCCATAAACAAGAAGATCCAAATTAACAATACCAAAAAACTGTTGAATCTATTGCATTCACTTCCCCTTTATTATAAAATTCATATTTATAAATTTCTTAACCATGAAACGATAAATCTGTGTACCATCTTACTCCAATTAAAAATCTTCCGGTAACATTTTTTACCAAATAAAAATCAATCCCATGACAAATCAATAATATAATCATCTCATAAAACATATTTGAAATAAAATATCCAAGAAATAAGTACCTATAATAAAATCAAATACAATTTACGAAAAAAAGGCGCATGCTTTCAATAAAATATGTAATAACCACATAATAGGATGACTATCATCTTCTTTTAATAAGTCAAGATGAGATAAATAAGTATCCTATTGCTATACATCATGCATTTCTATCTCTTATTGTTACTTACTCATTATATATATATATATATGTTAATTAATGAAAATAATGAAGGAGTTAATAAAATCAATATTGCAAAAATAATATAAATAAAAAGATAAAATTTATTAACATCTATAAAAAATAATAATAAAAGATTCTTCAATGAGTTTTTCTGAATAAAAATATTTGATTTTATATTTAGAGATTATTCATTTATAAATTATAAATAAAAGAAATCACAATCAATATCGACTACAATATTTCATTAATTATCAGAAATTTTTTTTATTAAAGTATCAATAAATTCTTAATGAGATATTTAACCATCTCCATTTTAATCAAAATCTTTTATTAATTCTTTCCATTAAGTACTTTTTTCTCCTGCTCCTGCCATAACTTTTTTTAATTCTGCTATTGTTATTTATCCATTTCCATCCTATTTATTATATTATATAGATATTACTTAATCAAATAATTTAAATACTTTTTCAATCTTTTCCTTTTCTACTAATTAATTATATTATGATGCTGCTACTAAGAATTCTGAATACTCTAAAGTATCTGAATGATTAAAATCTCCTTTTTTTAATATTTCTTAGACTATTTATTCTGATTTCAATTCATCCTTATATATTTACATATATCCTGCTTTCAATTCTTAATGCGATAGTTTTCCATCTCCATTTCTATCCATAGATTTAAACTATTAAATTAATTTTTGTTTATCCTAATTATTCATCATTGTAGATGCAATTAATTATAAAATTGCTTATTGTAATTTACTACAACTCTATAATTGATGATATCAATATATACATGAAATTATTTTAAATTATCTAAAACCTTTTTGTCAATTGAAGCATTATTTTTATTATCTTAAATCCAAGGATCTAAAAGTGCTTATTCTACTGTATATCTATTATTTAGATCAAAAATTAGCATTTTTCTTATAAAAGCTTTAGCCTTATTAGTTGTAACCTTATCAATGACTAATTAATTTATAGATAAATGAGATACGGCTATAATCAATTTCATTTCCTTTAATCATATCACATATTCTTTAAGGATCCTTTTCTTCTTTATATGGCAATTTTCCAGTCAAAAATTATAAAGTCATGATTCCACAAGACCATACATCACTTTTTTCATTTGAATTATCTAAAATTGTCTCTGGTGAGATATAAAATGGCTAATATTTATCGATTTTAATTACAGTTCCAACTATATCTATATCTTCTTGTTCAATAGGTTTAGCTGCTCCAAAATCAATTAATTTAATTTAAGCATCTGGTTCTTCAGATTCCAATAATATATTTTATGGTTTAACATCTCTAAGATTCCATAATACATTTAAATTACTTATGAACAATGCCACAAGTGTGACAATGATTTAATGCTTCCAATACTTATTTGATATAATTTGCAATTTATTGCTCTTTTAATTCCTTTTTCTTATTTATTAAGTCAAGTAACTCTCCACCACTTAAATATTCATAAACTATATAAAAATATTAGCTATCCTGAAACAGTTCATATATTTTCACAATATTTGGATGGTCAAAATACATCATAATTTAACATTCATTTGCAATAAGTTTTTCATTTATTTTTTGAGATTTTATAATCTTTTTCATTGCTCTTTTTTGTTCACTCATTAAATGAACAACTAAATTAACTTCACCTTAAGCACCTATTTTCATTAGAAGATTAATACCTTTCCCAAGAGGTTTCTCTATTCTATAATGTTTTAAAAGATCTCCACCCTTTAAATTAATGAATAAGGAAGGCCCTACAAAAAATGGATTATCTGTCATGTCTTTTCTCTGTATATTGCTTAAATACCTTTATTTTGCTTATTAGCGACGCAACCCATTATAATTTATAATTGATTTAATTAATATTCATCATTATAATTTATTTATCATTTTGTTTAATAATTATTTGTATCTCCTTTATTAATCCTATTTTTCAAACTTTTCTAAATGCTAAACTATTTATTTTTAAAATACTAAATTTAACAAATTATTATTTCCTAAAATCTGTTAAATTTATTTAATCTCATTTTACTGTATTTTATTAGTTTAATATTCTTAATCAGATTTTAATAAATTTAATAATTCGTTAAATTCTTATTAAATTTCCTCTGATTTAATAAAAACTTATTAACTATTAATTTAATCTTTTATCTTTTCTTTAATTCCTTTCTAAACTTCTTAAATAAATTCTTTAAACTAATAAATATCTTTGGTTAGATTCATTATCATTTAAGAAGTATCACTTAATATTAATCCATCTTCATATTTCTTTCTTTTAGGTTATAAATAATTAACAACTTGTTATTTTTTGACTTCTTAATTAGGAAAACAAGGTTATAGATTTTCAACTTTTAACATAATTATTTCATTTTCCCATTATTAAAGGCAATCTAAAAATTAAAAGAAATTTATAATACCTTCATAAATAAAAGAATTTTTAGATTCACTAAAATGCAATATACTGAGTATCAGAGCCTCATTTTTTAAAACTTACTTTATATAATTTAAATCTTTAAGTAAAATCTTTTATGATTTATGTAAGTCAAATTTTGAAAACGATTACAATATTGATTCATGTCTAATATTAAGATAAGTATAAGTTTCAATAAATTCCTTTAAATATTAATCAAGTTAAATGCATTATAATAAATATTTGTCAAATTATATTATTTCTCTATTTATAACCTACCTTGGTGTTACATTATTTGAATTACCAATTAACCATTAATTATGTAATATTTAATTGTAAGTCAATCTCTATTCTGGTTATTCATTCAACATTTCAATCAATAACTTTCTTTATAGAAATGGAATTGTAGGATCTTCAGAATCAAATAATATAGATTTATTGGAATCTTTCACTGAATACGGATATAGATATTTAAATTTATTGGGTAAAGAGCCTTTTAATAAAATATAAAGTAATATTCCACATTTCCAAACATTTAATTTTTCTATATCCAATACTTCAGTTTCTGGAGGATTAAAAATAGAAAGAGTAAATATTTCCTTTTTATATTTAATATAAATTCCAGTTAATAAAACATTTCCTTCAGGTGTTACTAAGATTTGATTGGGAGATTATAAACTAAATCTATACATCTAATTACTAATATGTAATTTTTAAATCATTTAACAACTTTAAAGTTTAGATCAATTATTTGAATAATTATTTAGCCTATAATTCATCAAAAATATCTTTAGTAAAGCAATATTCAAATATGGATTAAGCTTATGGTTTTCTGAAATATTGAAAATTAGTACGATTAAAATATTATAGAATATGAATCAGTTTAATATACTTTTTCTATTTTATGTATATTTTAACTAGTTATGTTCAAAATAAATTTTAATTGCTCATCAGTTATTTTTTGTACAACAGTCATAATCTTTTCTTATTAATCCTAACTATCCTTCACTATGTACTATTGTATATTTTTATCTTTAATATTGGATTAGAAATCTACCAAATTATATAGTTTTAATGATTGTAATTAAGGTTTCTAAATCAGTAGGACCTATTTGTTTAATTTTTGAACTTTGAATTAGTTTTTTTTGACATATACCCATTTATTATAATAATTAATATATACATATTCTAATAATTTATATCTATGTCTGAATGAAGAGTTCTTAGTTTATTTTAATATTTTCAAATGTATCAATTATTAAACTAATTATTTTCTTGACAATAATATATATTATTCTTAATTTCTATAAAATGCATTGAATATTAAATTTAATGACTTTTGTGCTTTAAGAAGGTTCTGGAAAGTGATGCAAAAAATATTATTTTTTTTTAAATTATTATTCATGGAAGTTGAACGTAATACAGGAAATGATAAACTTAAATAATAAGCTGAAGAACACAAAAATAAAGGAAATGATTATTTTAAAAGAGGATTATATTCAAATGCTGCAGAAGAATATGAAAAAGCTATAGGTATTCAAATTTATTCATTTTTAGAACTATTTGCAAATGAACCAAATTATTATGGTAATAGAGCTGCTTGTTTTCTTTAGATGAAAAAGTAATTTAATTAATAATATCATTAGGTATAACAAATGTTTAAAAGATTGTGAAAAAGCTCTTAGTTTAGATATAAATAACATCAAATTTCTTAGAAGAAAAGCTTTGAGTTTATAATATTTGGGACTCTTTAATGAAGCTAAACCTATTTTTGAGCAAATTGTTAATTTAGATAATAGTGAATAATCTCTTAAAGAACATAAATAAATAAAAGAATTGATCAATTATTTGTAATAAGCAAAATAAAAATTGGATTCTAATTAATATAAGGAGGCTTTATAATTTATAGAGAAAGTTGCTAAAGAAGTTCCTGATGCTGTAGATATTTAAATTTTAAATTGTGAATGTTTAGCCAGAACATCTAATATTAATTAAGCATAAGAATAATTGAGACTTATTTAAGATAAACATGGACCAAGAGCTGAAACATATTATTTAAAAGGATTAATAGAATTATATGGAGGAAGTCCAGATAAGGCAAAATCTATTCTTTAAGAAGGAGTAAGATAAGATTAGAATAATAAAAAATGTTTAGTTGCTTATCAAATGGCAAAAGATTAAGATAGTTATAAATCAAAAGGAAATGATTGTTTAAATTCAAATAAATTTAATGATGCTATTGATTATTATACTAAAGCATTAGAAGTTGATTCTAACAATTTTAAATTCAATTCTATAATATATGCAAATAGAGGATTAGCTTATTAGAAATTGAAAGATCATAGAAAAGCAGTAAATGATTTTGATAAATCAATTGAATTGAATGAAAAATATTTCAAACCTTATTTGAGAAGAGGAGATTCAAGATAAGAATTAGGAGATTTAGATGGTGCTTAAAGTGATTATTAAAAAGTAATGGAATTAGATTAAGGATCAATATAATAAATGAGATAAAAGATAAATGATATAACAAGAAAATAAAAATAATTATCAAAAAAAGATTATTATAAAATATTAGAAGTAGATAAAAATGCCACTGATGCAGATATTAAAAAAGCATATAGAAAATTGGCATTATAATGGCATCCAGATAAAAATAAAGAAAATGAAGAATAAAAGGTAAATTCTTATATAATAATTATAATAGAAATTAGCTGATAAAAAATTTAGAGAAATTGCAGAAGCTTATAGTGTATTGAGTGATAAATAAAAAAGATAACAATTTGATATGGGAGTAGATCCAAATGATCCTATGGGAGGAGCAGGAGGATTTGAAACAAATATTGATCCAACTTAAATATTTAAAATGTTTTTTGGAGGTGAAGGAGGATCAGATTTTGGTTTTGGAAATATGGGAGGAGGAGAATTTCCAGGAGGATTTCCAGGAGGATTCCATACTATGTTTACAAGTAATTTAGGTGGAATGGGTTAGAATATGAGAGGAGGATCAGGATTTCCATTTTAATTTGGAGATTTCTCATAATAAGGAGGGGCAGGATTTCCTGGATTTTCATTTCCAGGAATGTAATTCACATAATAACAATAAAGAAGAAAATGATCTATTTTGTTTCTCTATATTAATATAAATTAATGTTTTATGCCTATTAATATAAATAACTGTATAATATTTGAAGTGTTTAATAAGATAAATAAACTTATGTCTTCCAAAAAAACGCAGATGAAATAAAAACATTAAATCATGAAATTTTTCAATATAATTAAAAAAAAGAATTATCTTCAATTCTATGAATTTCTATCCAATTGACTTTGAAGAACAAGCCTCTTAATGTACTAATTTTATATATTTCTAGAGTTAATTAATGAACCCTTCATTGAATAAACAAATGAATCCTTATACTATGAATATGACCAAAGTGCTTATTAAGAGCCTGAATAACTAAATACTTTTGATGGGTATTTACAAGAAGAGCCTGTCCTTTTGTTTAATTATGTGGAAGAAGCACCAAAAAAGAAAACAAAACATGTTAACAGAAAATCAAAAAAAATTAGAAAAGCTGATTCAGAAACAGATGTTCCTTCTGGAAAAAGAATGAAATCTCGTATTACTAATAATGACGTCTTGAAATTATAGTAATGTTAGAGATTAAAAACAATAATCTCTTAAATGGAGGCTCTCTTATAATAAACAAGAACATCGATTCTCAATCAATATATGAAAAATCACACTAAGTGACCTCCTTAATGATTAAATATATCGAGTTATATATATATATATATATGTAGTAACATATTTTTATGATAGTTTCTTTTCAAAATTTAAATAGAAGCAAATTTTGAGTTAGAACATTATGGTGCTAAAAATAACATTCTCAAGCTTTTAATATTATCGACAAATTATAAGTAATATATTTCTTGAAGAAAAGAGAGAGTTAATTGAACAACTAATTATTTTTTTTTAAAAAGATATATAATAATAACTTAAGTCATATATTGTTATTTCTTAATATAGGTATAACTTTCTTCAATGTTTTATAAAAACAAGAATAATTAAATTCAACCTATTGAATTGATTTTAATTCAATTACACCATAATATTTCTTGAAATTCTTTATTGCCGAGTTCAAATATATCTTTGTAATTATATTAATCTATATTCATATTTTTTCATTATATTTAGAACTTTTATATCGTTACGTTGTTTAATTATTTGGAAAAATGATTAACTTATGCAGAATTTTAAATAATATTTATTTACAAAACAAAATATGTATATTTAATTTATAATCTTTAGAGTTATCATGAAATATAGATTTTTAAATTGAGATATATAATAAAAATTTATTTTATTTTTAGAAAATGAGTGAAATAGTTGACCAAAATATATTAAAGAAATATGAAATTTTGACAAAAATTGGTAAAGGAGCATATGGAATAGTTTGGAAAGCTAAAGATATTAAAAGTTAAAAGATAGTAGCATTAAAAAAAGTATTTGATGCTTTCAACAATCCAACAGATGCATAAAGAACTTACAGAGAGGTAATTAAGAAGTTTATTATTATTTAAGGTTTGTCTTTTAAAAAAGTTAAATCATCCCAATATTGTATCATTAATTGATACTTATCCAGCTGAAAACTAAAATGATCTATATATGGTTTTTGAATACATAGAAACTGATCTTCATGTTGCCATTAGAGCTAAGCTTTTACAACCTCCTCATAGAAGATATATAACATATTAAATATTTAAAGCATTAAAATATATTCATTCATCAGGCATGATACATAGGTATAAAAGAAGATAATAAATAATTTAGAGACTTAAAGCCAGCAAATATTTTATTAAATTCTGAATGTTAGATTAAATTGGCTGATTTTGGTTTGGCTAGAATTGTATCTACTTGGGAAGATGATATATTGACAGATTATGTAGCAACAAGATGGTTTAGAGCTCCAGAAATTTTATTAGGATCAAAATTTTATTCGACTGGAGTTGATATGTGGGCTATGGGATGTATGATGTGTGAGATGATTATGGGTAAGGCATTGTTTTCAGGGACTTCAACCATAAATTAAATAGAAAAGATAATTGATGTTCTTGGACTTCCCACATAAGAAGATATATAAAGTTTTGGAGGATAAAAATAATTATTCGAAAAATTCTCAAGAAATTATAAATTTAACTTAAAATCCATCTTGAATTGTGGTAATGATGAATTCGATTTAATTACTAATTTATTAGCTTATAATCCAAATAAAAGATTAAATGCAATTGAAGCATTAAAACATCCTTATTTTAGAGAATTTCATAATGTTGAAGAAGAAATCACATTTAAAGGATAAATTAAACTAGAATTAAGAGATGATAAATTGTTTCCTATTCAAATTTATAGAGATTTATTATATAAATAAAATAAAAATTCTAATAGAATGATAAATTTAATAAATAAATAAAAAAAATTAATATAAATAATTGAAAAAAAAGAAATTGAAAGTTTAAAGAAAGCAAAAAGTTAATAATAAATAAATTAATAATCTACTAAGAGTGCCTTTTTATAAAATAATTCAACAACCAATTTTGATAAAAGTATTAATAAAACTGTTGCAATTCCATTGTAAAATAATTATTCAAAATAATAAACAAATTTCAATAATTTAAAATAATAATAATTATAGAATAGATTGAAATAGATATGTTTATCTTCTCCTGATAAAATTGAAAATACTATATAATCAAAATCACCTAAACCATAAATGTTAATACCACAAAGATAATTTATTAAAACAAACCTCAAACCAATAACCTTTAACAATTTAATTGATACATCCCTTAGCCCTTAATCATTATCTAAACAATAAATAATAAATTCGCTAACTCAAATGTAATTATGATTATATCTGCTTAAGCATAAGCTACTTATTAATTAAGTATACATAAAATTTCTTTTAAATTTATAATTTATTAAATATTCATATTTGTTTTCATTAAAAATAGATATATATGTAGTTTATATCTTTTAAATTATATATAAAAAATCTAATTTAATAGATATTTTTATTTTGTAACATTTTATTTACTTGGTATCTGGTCCTTTTTTATATTATATTATATTATATTATTACTCTTTCTTTTTAATAATTTATCTGTAGATTTACTTATATTTCTAATTATAAAGTCCCTACTTTTTAAATGCTTGTATTATTTAACTTATAAAATTCTTAAACTATCTAGAAATCAAGCAATAATTATACTATTATTAATTACATTTATCTTCATATATGTTTTAATATAATAGAATAAATAATTAAGGTCTTTATCTATTAATAGGATAAATTTCAAATTGATTAAGATTCTAATGCATGTATTAAAAAATATAACATTATAGTTTCTATAATTATTATAATAATTTCATAAACTTAGTATTTAATTTAGATTATGTTTTCAACTTTCTTTTTACTTTTAATATCAAACATTTTTCTGAGGATTTATAGTAATAGAGGAATTCAAAATCATAATTCCATTTATTTTTAAGAATATATCTTAATTACAGCGACTTAATTTTATTTTAGCCCTTCCCATTTAAGATCTCTAGTTCAATTTTACTTTTTTATGAAATATTCATTAAATATAAATATATATTTGACATTTAAATATAATGTAAACTATCAAATTAAATATTAGAATATATAAATAATTTAATTATAAATGAGTAAAATAAATGATAAAACAAAAAATATTAAACATCATTAAAAGGAAACTGTAAATTGAGCAAAAACAGGTCTATGATCACTACCAAAGATATCAAAATTAGCATCATAATTTTATAATTTAATTTATGATGGTAGATTATCTTAGAAGTCTTAAGTATGTGAAGAAGTTTTGGATTTTTTATTTTCTTTAAATAGAATTCTATCACACCATCCAGGTATTCTAAAATCTTTATCAATAGCCCATTAATTTTAGTATTCTAACATTTTATAAGTTGGTGGAAAGAAGATCATTCCTTCATTAAAAAAGGATTAATAATCTATTTATGATTAATAATATACTTAATGATTGATTTCTACTTTAATACATTTGATCATTTGAAAGCCACATAAAAAAATCAGAATGATGTCTAATAGTTTAAGTTGTTATTTATTAATTTATTCTTGAATTAAAATCACCAGTCCATATCAAATAATCATATGATACATTTTTATGATTATAGAAAACTTGATTTTCAAAATGAGTTTCAAGTTTAGAAAATTAAGTTTATCTTTTAGTTTCTGCATTTTATCCACTTTCAAGATGACTATTAGCAAATAAGAATATTTTATCATTAATATTAAGTGAGATAGCAATTCCTCCTTTATTACCAACAATTCCCATAAAACCTTATGAAAGTGTATATGGTCTTCCATTTTTAATTTTAGGTACCAATAATACATGTGCAAATACAATAAGATGCATAGCATTCAGTGTTGTAGATTAGACTTTAACATAATCTTTACCTAGTTCATCTTTCAATTTTGATTCCCATCCTCCTTTTGATTCACATAGAAGTGATACTGCTATACTTCTTGAACATTCTTAAGTGCCTATTACAATTAAATCATGATGAACTTATTAAATATTAAATAGTCTTTTTAAAGAGTAACCAGGTATAATTCCATGCATATTCCATGTAATAACAAGTATTTTAATATCATCATCAAGAGTCCATTCTAATTTTGGTTAATTCATCCATTTATATGAACACTTATGATTTAGATGTAACATCTCTTAATTAAGATGTCCAATTAATTATGAATCCTAAGAGTATTCATTGAAAAATTTCTAATTAAATAAAGGGAAAGGGAGATGATCTTGTTGATTAATAGATTTATTGTTCATATTCAATATTTTTCAGTGAGATTTGTTTGTATATTAAAATATATAATGTAACATAGTTTATCCAAGAAATTAGAAGAATTCTAAGATCTAGATCCAAGTGAATCATTTCCACAGAGAAGAATATCAAGAACAATAGGTTATCAAAATAGCTAATCAATTCAAGAGGAAGAAGATGAATAATCCTCTTCTAATGTATAATAACCGAAACCGAAATTACCTTTCATAAATCCATCAAACTAGTAGCCTAGTGAATTAAGTGGAAGTGATATGAAAGTGCCTACAATATATACAAATATACAATCAATTAAAAGTTTGGAAAAAAACATATTCTAACAAGAATCAAAAAAGTATAAAGTTCTTATTGATCAATATATAGTAAATTAATAGATATTTCAGGATTTGATAGTGCAATACAATCTCCATAATCTGACTCTGTATTCAAATAATATTATTATTGTTTATTAGATTGAATCCTATTTAGTAGANGATGTCTAATAGTTTAAGTTGTTATTTATTAATTTATTCTTGAATTAAAATCACCAGTCCATATCAAATAATCATATGATACATTTTTATGATTATAGAAAACTTGATTTTCAAAATGAGTTTCAAGTTTAGAAAATTAAGTTTATCTTTTAGTTTCTGCATTTTATCCACTTTCAAGATGACTATTAGCAAATAAGAATATTTTATCATTAATATTAAGTGAGATAGCAATTCCTCCTTTATTACCAACAATTCCCATAAAACCTTATGAAAGTGTATATGGTCTTCCATTTTTAATTTTAGGTACCAATAATACATGTGCAAATACAATAAGATGCATAGCATTCAGTGTTGTAGATTAGACTTTAACATAATCTTTACCTAGTTCATCTTTCAATTTTGATTCCCATCCTCCTTTTGATTCACATAGAAGTGATACTGCTATACTTCTTGAACATTCTTAAGTGCCTATTACAATTAAATCATGATGAACTTATTAAATATTAAATAGTCTTTTTAAAGAGTAACCAGGTATAATTCCATGCATATTCCATGTAATAACAAGTATTTTAATATCATCATCAAGAGTCCATTCTAATTTTGGTTAATTCATCCATTTATATGAACACTTATGATTTAGATGTAACATCTCTTAATTAAGATGTCCAATTAATTATGAATCCTAAGAGTATTCATTGAAAAATTTCTAATTAAATAAAGGGAAAGGGAGATGATCTTGTTGATTAATAGATTTATTGTTCATATTCAATATTTTTCAGTGAGATTTGTTTGTATATTAAAATATATAATGTAACATAGTTTATCCAAGAAATTAGAAGAATTCTAAGATCTAGATCCAAGTGAATCATTTCCACAGAGAAGAATATCAAGAACAATAGGTTATCAAAATAGCTAATCAATTCAAGAGGAAGAAGATGAATAATCCTCTTCTAATGTATAATAACCGAAACCGAAATTACCTTTCATAAATCCATCAAACTAGTAGCCTAGTGAATTAAGTGGAAGTGATATGAAAGTGCCTACAATATATACAAATATACAATCAATTAAAAGTTTGGAAAAAAACATATTCTAACAAGAATCAAAAAAGTATAAAGTTCTTATTGATCAATATATAGTAAATTAATAGATATTTCAGGATTTGATAGTGCAATACAATCTCCATAATCTGACTCTGTATTCAAATAATATTATTATTGTTTATTAGATTGAATCCTATTTAGTAGATAATAATAAGTCTTCAACACTTAATTCTTAACATATCAAAGCTATGATAAATAGATTTATTTAGAAAATGAAAAGAAAAGTTGATTGGACATAATTAAACGATTTCACTTTAATAGATAATATATATTAAGGTACTTATTTTTCTTATAAATCTTAGTCAATCCTTAGATTTATAAATGGTTTACAATTTTCTATTTCCTTTTTAGTTCAATCATCAATATTTTATCAATAATAATCATACCATTATAAATTGTTGAACAATTAGAATTTGAGATTCTAGCTTACATTGCTCACTGTTTAGTCATCATCTAAATAATTGCAGATATTTATTTTAAAAGAGGACCTTTTCATTTGAAAGAAGGCAATTTTAATAATTCTTATATTGATGATACCAAATTAATGTTAGATCTACTTAGGATCATATTTGCTATCCTCTTATTATTGGCTTATTATTATAATATGAAATATCTCATTATTCCTTATTTCATTTTATAACTTATAAGATAAGCTGAACGTTTCGAAAACATTTACACTTCAATTTAACTCTTTTTTTATATCATTTCTTTATGGCTTACTATTATAATGTCTTTTGTTTGTCTCTATGAATCTGAATAGGACATATATTATTCACTTACTATAGCTGTCTCTATTCTTACTCATAATGGAATTATAACTGTAGATATTACTCCTACAAATTCCTTCATCCTTCAATCTTATATGATTATTAGTTCATTATCTATGATATATACAGCCACTGTTATATTTATATGGATTAAACCTTCCATTAAATTAGAATAAGAGAAAGAGAAACATTTAGCTTCATTCCTCTAAGGAATTAATAATAAAAATATAGATTATGGATTATAATGCAGATCTTACTCATATCTTGAGTATATAGTTGATGTAAATTGGATTCTCAAATTTAGGAAGATATTATGAAAACCCGTGATTTGTTGACCAAAAAATTATCACCTGCTCTTTAAGAAGAATTATAAGTTTCCATACGTTCCAAGATGATTGAGAAGATTAAATTCTTTAAAAAGTTTTCTTCAAGTTTAAGATAGCAATTAATATATTGGTTTGAAATTGCATAATACAATCCAGAAGAAAATATTGTCTAAGTAATAGTTTATAAAAAATAGTAATTTTAAGGAACACTAAATTGAAGACCATTGTTTATATTTTATATTAAAAGGAAAAGTAAAAATATAATTCTAAGGTTAATATTAAGGGAAACCAAAAAGAACATTTCATACATTAACAGAAGGTTAAACATTTGGTGAATTTTCATTTATTAGCGGAATTCCATCTTATATTTCATTAAATAGTGAAGGATTGACTACAGTATTGAAATTAAGAAGATCTGATTTCTTAGAAATTATTAAGAACTTTCCTTAAGATAATGAAATCTTTTGTTTTTATAAAGATAATTGCAATCATAATCATAACATGTTTGAATGTCATTATTGTAAAGTTTAGGGACATATGCTTTTTGAATGTTAATACTTGTAATATTATCCTAAAAAATTAAATGTTATAGAGAAATACTTATATCCTCATATATAAAAACGTATTAAAATTGAAAGACGTATTAAATCACCTAAATCATTATTAATGTTATTTGTTGTTGGAGAAAGTGCTAAATAATTTTAGTAGAAATTATCTTAAGAAATAATGACATCAGAGGATTTTCCAATGTCCTCATAATTACCTTATAGTGAAAGTATTAATAAAATTGATATATATATATTAAATCTATATAGATTAGACCCAACAATCAGCCAGCTATTTAAGCAAGACTTAATCGATCCATAAATGTAATCCAGAATAACTTAGTGAGAATCCTGATAGTGTTGAAGATCAATTATATGAAGAAATGATAATAGACCCAGTACTTAATAATCAATTTAGAAAATAATAAAATAAAACTACTTTAAGAACAGCTGGATTTCCTTTTTAGACAGAAACCTTAGGTACTAAGGTTCATAAGCCTATGATAGAAAACTTACATAAAGAAAAATTATAAATGATTAGTGAAGCAACATAAAGTAAATAATTTGACACTCTAAATTCAAAATATGAAGATTCAAATTAATTGAGTAAATAAAGTAGTGGTTCATAAGCATTTGCTAAAAAGAATAATTTATATTCTGCAGCTAGATCAATGCATACAAAGTTAACATTTCGATATCAATAATAATAATCAAATTAAATGGAGGAATCAATACAATTCTAATAATAATAGAATTCAGTTAGACAGATATCAAATAGATCAAATACATATTCTAATCCACTTTCAAATAACCCGTCAAATAATCCATCTATCACTTCAAAAGTACATACAAAATCAGCCAGGGTGTCTCCTACTTAATTTTAATCATAGTAAAAAAAGAAGGAAGATAAGGCCTCTCATAGTGATCAATCATTATCTGAATAAAATTAACGTCATACAAATAGAAAAAAGAGTACTAAAACAGGAACTAAAGTTAGTATACTATAATCTCAATTCCAAGTAATTAACACTCCTGATGTATTTAAGTTGATTTATTTAAAAGAATCCACATTATCAATACAATGAGATATATTTTAATAGATTTGAGAGAATGCATTTATTTAAGTTCTATAATCCGCATAATAATTATGATAATGTTATATCTAGGTATTATAATAGTATTATTATATTTAAGAACAAATAAGTTTCATAGATAAAAGAAAGGTAAACCTAGTTTATATACAGTGAAGTGTTATGTTTCAACAAGAATAAAAAGAGTCAAAAGATTATTAGAATCATAATTATGATAAAATATTAATATTACTAAAAATGAATATTCTTTATAGGAATATGTAATGATATAAATGTTCATTTCATGCTTTAGTTTTCTCCAAACTTTTCTTCAATCCATCTAAGAGTAATTGATCCTGGTCTTTCAATTGGTAATCCAAATGCTCTTGACCAGATAAGATTGGCCATACATCCAAGGGCTCTTGAAACTGCGAAAACAACAGTATAATATTAGAATTCTTTCATTCCATAGTGATAAAGTAGTACACCTGAATGTGCATCAACATTTCTATGATAATTATATATAATTACGGCCATGGGTTTTAGATTTTTCCAATAGTCTTCAAAACAGGTGGAATAACATGATAACATTATCTTACTAAATCAACCAAAGGATCATCTTTAATATGTCTAGCAGCAAAGTCTTTTTAATGAATGAAACGTGGATCTGTATATCTAAGAACGGCATGTCCATATCCTGGTATGACTTTACCTTCTCTGATTGTTGTAAGAACATAATCTTAAATTTTTTCATTTGATATATTTTCACCCAAGGATTCCTAAGAAAAATGTTAATATAGATATATTACTCTCATTTCTAATAACCATTTGAGTACTTCTTAATTTGCAAGACCATGTAATGGACCAGCTAATCCATTAACACCAGCAGAATATGATAAATATGGATCTGCTAATGCTGATCCAACCAAATGTGTTGTATGAGCACTCACATTACCTCCTTCATGATCAGCATGAATGCTTAAATATCCTCTCAAACATTCTCTAACTTCAAATTTATTATATCCAAGCATATGAGCATAATTTCCAGCCCAATCTAAATTTTCATCAGCTGATATGATTTCACCATTCTTAAATATAAAAACAACTAAATACCTTGTATTTGTGTCTATAAATTAAGGCAGCAACTCTTGGAATTTTAGCCAATAAATCCATGGCATCTTCATAGAAGTATTCCCAATATTATGGTTTTGAAACTTTTCCTTAATCATAGGTTTATTGGAATTGAGAGTCCTTTTACAAAAACAATAATGCTTAAGATAACATAGTCATTGGATGAGCAGTCTTTGGTAAACTCAAAATGAACTTTTATGTCTCACTATCCAATTATCCTCTTTATTTCCATTCTTATTGAACGTCAGCGAATTCTTGTTCAGCTAGAAGATATATAATAACATATATATACATGGGAAGTCACCTGTGCATAATAACCAAAACAAGGCTTCTGGTAAAGGCTCATGTCCATTTTCAGCCTTTTATAGATATTCTTACAATTCAGGGATATTGTAATCTCTCATTGTGATACCCTATTTGTTAAATATGAATATAGTACTGTTTTAGCATCCAATAATGATGCATCATAGAAAAGACCGAATACATTTCTCATTCCTCCAATTGCTTAGTCTACAGTCACTTTACACACTTCCTTTGCTCCATATCTTTTTCTGACATCACGTAATAAAGCTTATTTTACAGGCACAAGCTCTCTCATTCTCTATTTCAAAAGTCCATGTGAATTGTTATACACACTTCTGTAAAACATTTACACTGCATTTCTAGTGTTAACTTACATGATGATATATTATAATTATTATCAAAAATTCAAGATATTATCTGCATTTATACACACACTATGCGCATTAATTATAACATAATTAAAAAGATTCGCTAAATTTCTAATTATTATAAAAATAATTTTTATAATTAGATATTTATTTTGTGGTTAATTCTTTAATAAAAACCATTAATAACACTACCATTATAATAAAACATTATTGTAAAACAATCTACAATTTCAAAGACTCTTTATTCCTATTATAATAGTCTCAATTCTAATAAAATAAAAATATGAATAAAATATTAGTAAATAAATTTTATTTATTTTCTTTAAATTACTTTTAAAAAATCTCTACAAATCTCTACTTTCATCAAATAATACATATTTATGTCTAATGAATATGTAAATAATTAAAAAATATATAAATACTATCAATAAGATGTTTAATAATTGAATAATTATTATAATTTATCATATATTAAAAGTTAAGTAGAAGGAACTAACTATCTTAATTTTATTGGAATGTAACCCTTAAATGATCCTTTTATACCTTCTTTTTAGAATATTTTTATAATATAATCTAATACTCCCTTCAATTATTAAATTTATTTATTTACATTTTATTAACTACTTTAATTATTTAACATTAAATCTCTTCTTATTCTATCTATTGGATAAACTAGAGTTTCTGATGTGGAGACCACAAATTGAGCTAATAAAAAGTTGCACAAATTTAATTCATTTCTCTAAGTCAATTAATCATCCCATATTATGTACTAACCAGTATCATACCCTCTTATTAATATTAAAAATATGAATCTACCCAAAGTAACATGCTTTATATAAAAATGTACAGATAGCTGTCATCCCAAATCCCTTATACATATCTTTTAATATATATCCAAATGTCTATTTTTCTTTGGATAATTTTAATAAATTATTCGCTAATCTAACTCTACTAAAATCTAAAGGGTAAAATATTGTCAATGTAATAATCCCTGCAATTCCTCCATTTAATAAAGAATTAACAAAATATCTAAATAGATTAAAAGTATTATTCACTTTATTAATTGTTTATTCAAATCTATTTTTTATAAGCAATATCGATTTAAAGCATTATAAATTGAAAAATTAAAAGCTTAAATTAAAGAATATCTAAATATTCTACTGTTTCTTTTGATTTATCTTAATAATGTACCATCTATAATAAGTTATTTACAACCATCAAAATATTGATATTATTTTTAATAGGGAGTGCCATTCTTTATTAAAAACTAAAGTTCATAGAATGGACTTAGAATTATTTTAGGTAAGATACCAGAACTTCCACCTAAAATAAAATCTTTGAAAATTTGAGGAATGTAAACATCTTTTAAAGAAGTCATTTAAAATATTTATTTTAATTATAATTAGAATTGGTATCAATTTATTACATTCATTAAAAAATTTGAAATTATATTTTTTTGAAAAATTGATAGTTATATAACTTAATCATTATATAATTATTAAATTTAAGTGAAAGTTGTACAAGAGATAATTTAATTACAAATTTTGTTTATATTTTATATATCAACTAAATGATAATATGAATAATTGGAATATTTTATTTATATAACTAATAATAATTCATTATATTTTAATAATCCTAATATATATGAGTTTAGATAATATTTATATTTATCTCTTATCAATTAGATAGATTAGATAACATTTTCATCAAATATAAGATTGGATTATGATTAATTTAAATAAATTCATATATTTTGTCTACAATTTAATATTTTAATGAATAATGCTGATTATAATTAATAAAATTAATGGATTAATGCAAAACATATTCTCATATTAGATCAATATCATCTTGTAAGTCTAAACATAAAATTTCTAATAAGTCTCGTGATTTAATCAACCCTAGAAAGAGGTCTGTTACATTCAATAGTGATGTTGATTTAATTAAATCAATAAGTTGCCAAGAAAATTTACTTGATTTAATAGGAAAGGTATAGAAATAAAAATAAGATTATCTATTATCTCTTTAAAATTCTTAAATGTCTTTACTTCCACCTTTGAAAGTAGAAGAAGAAGAAATTAAGACATCAAAATAATAAGTGAAAAAGTAGACTAATAAAGAATATTATGAATTTACTATACCTATGGATCCATATAAAAAACAGTTGTATTAAAAATTAAATATATATGGGAAATTCATTGAACCAACACAATATAAAAAAATAGATTACTAGTAAATTTAGACATTGTATATTATTTATAATTATATGATTAGTGAATCAGCAATTTCATAAATTTAATTTTAAGAATGCAATAAAGATAAGATAAACAAATTATAAGAATAAGATACTTAAAAATAAATGGATAAGTTAATTTCATAAGTTGATGATACTTAAAGATTCAATCAATAATATTATTCAAATTATAATCAAGATTATGATTTATTTTAAGAATAGTAGAAAATGAACAAAATTATTAATGAAGCGTTAAAATTTAAATAGTAAAAAAGAGAACCAATAAATGCATCAAAGAGTGTTAAATAAAAGAGAACATAAATGAGGAATTATCTTGAAAATTAATACTAAAATGCATTAAATTCTGTAATGTAGGGTATTAATATAAATACAGAAGAGGATAATCTATTTATAAGAAAGAAATACTAAAAAAGAATTAAATTAAATACTTCTTTTAATAATTCAAGAATTACTTCCTAATATACAAAAAAAGCAATTTCTTCTTAAATTATTCACCCTGATAGATAAGACTTTGTTAATAAGACACTAGAGATATATGATAAATGTAATACTTATCTTAATTGATATATAAAATATTATATATTTTTTTAATTAATGTAATAATCTATAATTGATTCTAACATTATTTAATCTACAACTGTTAAAACAATAAAAGAACTAAAAAAATTGGGAGATTCTAGAACTAATTTAGAAGGAGAAGAAAATAATATAAATGATTCAACTTTAAGTGAAAAATAGACTCCTGGAGATGAAACCTCTAAAACATAGCATACAAAAATTACACTAAATAAAAAACCAAAGTTGACATTCAAACTTTAAACTTAAAATACAATACCATCTATGAAATAAACAGTTATGAAGACTTCAGATGATGTTGATATATAAAACTATGGAATCAAGAGAACATCTTTAAAATAAAGTTCAATGAGACCTTAAAAACCTTAACCTTAATTATAATTAGAATCAAATGATCCTATTGATATGAATAATGCACTTAATTTAATATTAAATAAATCCAAAACTATAAAAGAAGAATTTGAATAGTTATAACTCACTAACACATTGATAAACAAATATATAAAAAATGATAAACACTTCCATTTTTCATTTTAAGCATTTCTAGATAATCTAGTCTCATAAGGAAAATTAGCATAAACATTAACCAATATACAAAAAC